CAGAAGGAGAGTTGATGCATTTGAGCTGTAGTGCGGGAGAAGAGTATTGAATGTACCATGGACTGCCAAGAAAACAAACAGATTCATCCTGGAGAGGATTAAACCAAGCAACTCCTTGAAGGCAAGGATTCTGGGGCTTCGTCTGACATAATTTGGGCATGTTGCAAGGAGGGACAGGTCCTTGGAGGTGGACATCATGCTGGGGAGGGTGGAGGGATGGCACAAGAGGGGAAGACTCTCTATGAGATGGATTGTTTAAGTGACTGGGATAATTGGGATGGGAGTGTCAGAGGCAGTGCGATTGGCACAGGATAGAGCAGGATTTAGTGCTGTTGTACATAGGGTCGCTATGAGTCGCAAACTACTCAACGGCACATAACAACAACAATGATATCTACATATATAGATATATATCTTGATTATTAGAAGGGATCGTTATATAATAAATGAGTGGTACAGTGCAATATAAAATGTGTGTTGTTTTTAATCCTTATTTTATAATTAAGAGTATTTTGTTGTTGTTGTTGATTGCCGTATAGTCGAGCACGACTCATAGCAACCCTATGAACAAAAGACTTGAATCCTTTCTATAACTGTCATCGATTCTCTAAGTTCTTAGAGTTTCCAGAGTTATGTTGTTTAGGAATTAAGTATATCGAGGCTCATAAATGCTTGGTGATTTATTATTGCAAGTAAGGGACATACAGTAAATATGGCGTTTAAATCACCAAAACAGTTCTCTTGAAAGGTGGTGTTCCTTTCGCTGTTCTATATAGTCAAATAAGAGCACACTCAATAGCTGACCTTCTAGTAGGTTTACAAAGGCTATAGACCACATCAGAGGAGGCTGTCCATCTTCCTCCTGTGGAGGAGCTGGTGGATTCAAACCGAATGCCTTTGGGTTGGCAGCACAACTCCTTACCATGAAGCCACCAAAGCTCCCTGATAAAAGGTGAGAGGACTACAAATACGATATACTGGGAATAATTCCAAAGGAACACCAAGTAATTTATTATTCCTTATTTAGCTTCAAAACCTGAGAGGTTTTATTGTTTTCTTTCCAGTTTGTTTGTTTGTTTGTTTTTTAAACTTACCTTTACACGTCGGTAGTGGTTTAAGCCAGACCATTTTTTCCCCAATTTCTACACAAAAAGTAGAAGTTGCACCAATTAATTTGTACCTAAAGCAATAGAGGGAGAAAAAGTGAAGAAATGTTCCATTCCCACATACTTAAATTTCCTCATAATCTCCAGAATGCCTACACAAAATATTCAATATACCAGTAAAATTCACTAAAAATACTCATGCTTGCTGAGTCAGAATCTACTCACAGCTGACCCTCCTTTGGCTTTCCAAGACTGACCACGTGGGAGGAGATTGCCCATCTTTCTCCTGAAGAACTGTGGTGGGCTTGGACTGCCAGAGAGAAGTGGGCTCTGGGTCACTAACTCCTTATGGACTTACACCACCCATGTTCCCTACTACACCTGTAAAGGAGACACTGAAGAATTAATAAATGCTCATGCAGGCATTTAAAGGAAAATCAAGATTACCTTTTAAAAGGTGGTGTCATTAGGATAAAAAAACAAAAAAAAATGATACAACATAAAAGACATATTTATTTGCAATGAGCACATGTTATAAAATAGAAATCTTTTCAAAGTCCACTGATAAGATGCAAATGCTTGTAGTTTTCTGAGTTCTGGAAGATTAAGACAGCCTCGAAGAATAATTGTATTCAGAGGTCATCCTCCTGATTATGTATTAATGGCTGAGACATCTGTATGTACAGTACAGAAGATACTTGATACAGATATCTTCATCTTTAAAAAACTACACACAAATTAAAATAACATAGCTCAGAAGACAAATGAGAAAGATGAGTAAAGTTTTCAGCAGTGTCTGTCTGTGACCCTGATGATATTTAACAACTGAGTTCTTTTCCTGACTTGGGAAGTCGAAAATTATTTCAGGTAAGAATGATATTTTCATGCTAGGAATAAATAAATGTTTTTTAACTCAAGACATTTTAGAAGTCAAATTCATTGATTTCCAGTCAGATGTGATTCATGCTTGTCCTTCCAGTGTATTTTCAGAGCTGGTAAATTATACAGGAGTAAACTATCCATTTATCTCCCTTGAAGCAGTTGATAGATTTGAACTTCCTGACTTTAGGTTGGCAGGACAATTTCCTAACCACCAGACCACCAGACCTCCCTATTTTACAACTGACTATTTGGCACACTTAAAGACCGATTTCTCTTTTAGCTCTTAAAGGTTGTAATTTTTCCAAGTATTATCAACCACTCTCTTGTTGAATTTTTGTCTTTTGCTAATTACTCAACACTTAAATTTTTATTTGGTGTTAAAGAAATCTTTTTTTTCTGCCCCGTAACTAAACTTGATTCTGATCAGTTCATGATGAAGGATCTTTGAGAAGAAGGGTGATTTTAATCTCTACCAACTTGTAATCACTTGTTATGTATTAAATTCTAATTATTTTTATCTTTGTTAAATGAAAAGGTACATGCTACAACTTACCCCAGGTTGCATGAGAAGGAGATGCGTGAATTAAATAATAGGCCTTCTGTTATATTGATATAGCCATTTTTTAATTCTCCAGGATGAGCACATGATTTTTCTAGATAAGAATATAAACATATTTACTTTTTATCCAACACCCTTTCCTGATTAAAACACTCAACAAAATAGGATTAGAGGGGAATTTCTTCAACATAGTAGAAAGTATTTATGAAAACCCGAGAACCAACATTGTTCTCAATGGAGAGAGAGAGGTTAAAGGCATTCCCTTTAAGAACAGGAACTCAGCAAGGATGCCCACTACCACTTCTCTTATTCAATATTGTATTGGAAGTCTTAGCGGCAGTAATAAGACAAGAGAAGAAAATAAGAGGTATCCAAATTGGCAAAGAGGAGGTAAAACTATGCAGATGATATGATAGTATACATAGAAAACCCTAAAGACTCAGCAAGAAAACTATTGGACATAGTTGACCAATTCAGTAAAGTAGCAGGATACAAGATTAACATACAGAAATGAGTTGGATTTCTCTACAGTGACAAAGAGAATACAGATCTGGAGCTAAGGAAAACAGTACCCTTCACAATAGCAAATCACAAGATTAAATATTTGGGAGTAAATCTAAGCAGAAACACAAAGGATCTATTCAATGAAAATTACAAAGCATTACTACAAGAAACAAAAGAGACCTGAAGAAGTGGAAGAATATCTCTTACTCATGGCTAGGAAGACTCAATAATGTGAAAAGGGCAATACTACCAGAGGCAATTTACATGTTCAATGCAATCCCAATACAAACACCAAACCCATTCTTCAATGAGATGGAAAAGGCAATCTCCACTTTTATTTGGAATGGAAAGATGCCCCGAATAAGCAAAGCACTCCCTAAACAAAGAAAAAAGGTAGGAGGTATCACACTCCCTGATTTCAAATCCTACTGCACTGCCATGGTGGTCTAAACAGGATGGTACTGGTACAATAACAGACACATACATCAATGGAATAGAATTGAGAACCCGGAAATCTATCCATCTACCTATGGTCAACTGAATTTTTACAAGTAGATGAAAACAGTTAAGTGGGGGAAAGACAGTCTTTTTAACAAATGATGTTGGCAAAATTGGAAAACTATCTGCAGAAGACTCAAGCAAGATCCACACCTCACTCCATATACAAAAACCAACTCAAGGTGGATCATGGACCTAGGACTAAAACCAAGGACTATAAACTTCATTCAAGAAAAGCTTGGAAGAACTTTAGTAGCCCAAATCCACAATGTAAAGAGTCTTCCCAATC